GCTGGTACCATCTCTGAAAATTATACTGTAAGATTGCAGTATCAATATCCCTGCCTGTCAAAAGCAATTCTGTCAAAAATTTGTAACTCTGTTGGTGATTGCCTGCCTGAAAATATGCAGCTACCAAACGTATACTCTTTCTTAATTTTATTTGGATTTTAACATGTTTTCTTTCTCTTAAAGAAATTGCTCATAAGGAGACCGAGTGGTAAAATTAGTGAATACTGGTAGCTCAATCCGGGGTTAAATCCCGGCGAACGGGTTAGCTGCATGGGTGTTTTCGTGATTTTCTTCATATGTATCGTGTATACGAGCCAATTTCTCTTAGAAAGTCCTCTACGAAGACATTACTTCCTTCAGGCCTCGAGAGCTTTGCCATAACCAAATGAACCAAATCAGACTTCTCCAAAGAAAGACTATAAGAAATTTAGTTTGAAAATTAAACTTGGATTCGTTATTGGGGATCACATTATCTCGATGATTCAGAAATATCGGCTCCATGCTTTCGATTGCCAAAAACGACATTTAAATTTTATTACCTTAAATATGAGGAATGTATTCCCTTAATAATATTCTGGTATTTAAAATATGTATTTCTCATAGTTAAAGTGATAAAATATAGATGCATTCCTGGGGCATTTCTTTTTCTGGGAAATAAATATGATCTCATCTGTAAAATCTTAAACTATCGTTATATTTTTTAATCGATGGATTATTTTTATTTTGAATTAAAGTAATTAAACATTTAGATGACCACTCAGGTTAAGTTATTTAAATATGGCAAAGCTCACGAAGGTTACTTAAGGGAAGGGGTGCCCTTGATAAGAACCTTTTTTAGAGAAACTGGCTCGTATTTACGTAATACATAGGAAAAAACGGTCAAAAAGAACCATTCCGTCCGCCTGGATTTAAACCCAGATAAGAATACGAGCATTCAAGTATTAACCACTCGGCCGCGAAATAGAGTTACTATACAACAAATTATTCAACAAAATATAATACAATGAACCCTCAGTTAGATGACCAGTCACAATACCATTTTAAATCTTCTTTGGTCATATTCAAAAGGGGATGTTACACATCGATGTCTGATTGTGTTCTAAAATTTAAAAAATATTAGTCACTATGAGAGGTGATATCTAAAAGGGTAATCTCAATAACAGACTTCACTGCACTTAAAAGAATGTGTAAGTAGCTGAAAGGTTAATTAAAGCCTTGATTATAAAATTCAAAGAGAGACAAATAGACTGAAATTTTCTTTCAGAATAATTATTTCCCCCCTCAAAAGGATTTTGGTTTATTTGATTATGGCAAATCACTGGAGGGCTATCTATTTGAGAGGAGGGATGCTTTCGCGGAGTAATTTCTAACGGAAACTGGCTCGTTTACATGTTACACATAAAGAAAACCACGAAAACGCCCATGCAGCCGACCCGTTCGGGGGATTGGAACTTCGAACCGAACTACCAGTGTTCAACTACTTTACAGCTGAGGAGCTGATGTGTGGTCTCTCAGAATGTGTATTGTTGTTCTTAATTACAGCAAATGTAGTAAAGAGCTTATATTTCGATACCAGAAACAAAGGAGAAATGCAAAAACGCATTGAAAGCATCGATTCTCTGAAATTTGCATGAAAATTATGAAATATTTTTGAAATTTTCGGAGAGTTCAGCTGGTATACAACAGGAAAAAAAAAGAGATATCGAGGAAAATAAATTGAGGGAAAAATAAAGTTATTGACCAGATAAGCGCTATATAAAATCTTTTAGAATGTAATTGGCCTTGAGCATCACCTTTCTTTTGTTTTTTATGCGATAAAATGTTGACGAAATGAGAAATTTTTCTTTGATTATCACACAATTATAAGCTAATTTCATTCCGAAAACCCTCGACAAACATATCCATCATAAGGCAAACACATCTCGAATACTTATCTTGGCACTTATCTTATTAATGTTTCCTATGTTATGAGAAATTTAAATATTCCTGAAAGAAAGATAAAACTATCTAATCGTAATGAAAAATATTATTTTTTACATTGACGTCAAGATGGCAGAGGCTGTCATCAAACTTATTTCGAATACATTATAAAAATAGCTTTAGTGTTCAGCTAACAATAGACACACCCAGTATGATACAGATGAAATTTTTTAGGATGGAGACCAAGACGTACTAGGAAGGATTTAGTTGCAACTAAGGATAAAGTATCAGAGTTCGGGGTATGCAATTTAAAACAAAAGTCTTGAAATATACCTGAAAAATGTACTGCAAATTCAAGAGAAAATAGTCCCTTTTTTAAGGTTGGCTGGACGTTTTGGCACTGAAAATCATCATTTGAATTTTGAAATTAAATAACAAATTTAAACATTATAAAGTAGAATTGTTAACTAGATTATTTGAAAAATTCCGTAAAATATGCTTTGTTACAGAAAATTTGAAAATTCATATCATTATAAAACGATCTTGTTATCAATAATAGCTAGTAAATATACTATTTTAAACGAATCTTTGGAGTCATAAATAATTGCAATGTGAAGTTCCTAAATTGCAAATATATTGCAAGTTTTTCTTATTCATTGTAAGCAATTAAAGTGAAATCCATTAAACTCAGGAAATAAATTAAAACTTGGTATCCGTACATTTCAGAATATTTAACTATGATTATCAATAAATTAGTTTTGAAAATTTAAGTTTTATCAATTAATTAATTGTTTTACAATGTGAGGCTCGTCACATTCAAAGTCTCTTGTAGTAGGCAAAGAAATTGTAAATTAGCCTAAAATATGCAATTTAGAAACTGTAAATGGAGTAAAAATGCCACTACATTTTCAATAAACGAATTGCAAATTAAGGTCTAAGCGGTTCTTAAAAAATATAACAATTGTGAAATGCCAAATGAAAATTTAAAATAAAAGCAACTATATTAATTTTTATTCTTAACACTGCTATTAATATATAATTAACACATAAAGGGGAATATTGTTTTGTGTTGAAGTCATTTATGGAATATATCATTTAAATGCATTTAATTAAAATTATATAAATACGTAATTATATAATATTCATTAACTGTGTTTATGATAATATTATATTAAATATATAAATGTATAATAATTATTATTATTATATAATAATAATATATAATTCTGATAATTATTATATAAATATAGAATATTAATGAAATGTGCTTAAATGAAGTTGTATATTTTGTAATATTAATATAAACGTATAATTATTAATTTCATATTTAATTTTAAAACTTAAACGATGGCTTAGTTCAAAACAGAAATAAAATAGAATTTTAAAAAAGCAGTTAAATATTCTCCATTTTTATTATTCTACTTTCGCCATTTTATAATTGTCTTAATGTTTACATTAATGTAATAATAATTTTACGAAAATTAAATTAAATGATTTGTTTTCAGGGTTTAGGGTACACAGATATTTCATACATCATTATTTATTATGTTTTTTTATGCTTTTCGTGATTTTATATTCTTTATAACGTAAATAAATATCTTAACAGTATCAAGTTACAACATATCTATTAACAAGCTTTTGAATTTATAAAAAAGGAAGAAAAGACAGAAAGAGAAAGAAAAAAAAAAAACGCAGACCTACTTTCGGAGAATGTGAACCCAATATTACGGAATTAATCCTCTTACAATTTTCAAAAAGTTAATATTTGTTTTGTAGCATCCCGAAACTAAATGATAAAGAATTTAAAAAAATTATGCACAATAGAGAACAAATAGAATAGGAACTTTTAAATGTAACTATTTTGCATCAGCATAAGAGATAATAGATAGCGATCAGAATAAGGCGACTTGTATAAAAGTTTGATTCGAAATAATCGATTTTTGGATATGAGACATGTGGGTCACCGCAAAGTGTATGCCGTTACAAATTAAGTTTCATCGGTCCTAGAAATCAATAGACCAATTCCCCATCCCCGAAGACAATCTTCATATTTTTCCTTATGTTCTTTGAAATTATGGTGCACAGTTGAAATTATGAAAACAATATTTTGTACAATTTTTCACTGTATGAGTTCTTTATTTTTTTAAAAAGTAAACAAATATGCTTAAATTAGCATTGTTGCTCAACAATTTTTTAATAGCACAAAGTTAAAACGGAATAATCGTTTCTTTACATTTAGTAACAAATGTCAATTATGAGAAAAACTTGCCGTTTTTTTAAAAACAGTTTTGTGTTATTGTACAAAGCTCTTTTTTAAAATAATGCTTACATACAAGATAATCACTTATCAGTTTTTGAAACCGAAAAGAAAAGCCATCATTTTTCAAAATATTTAAAACCTTTGCTTCATATTGAGCTAATATTTAAATAATGCATAGTAAGAAACTTTTTTTAGCATCGATTATATCAAAGTTATATATAAATGTTTGAATTGAATTTGACTCGTACTTTTATTTGACTTGATCCGGAAACAACACATTTCTTTATTCGCTTTCGTGGGAACTCATACTCAGCATTTTAAGAAATATTAGTAATATTTTAATTAAAATGAAGGGAAACTTTTATGCAAATAGTGGAAAATTCATAGAATTTTACTTTTTCTCGTTTCTGCGTTTAGATTTTTAGTTTAGACGATGTGGAAAAAAAAAATTAGCTTTTAATAGTAACTCTGTCTGCTAAGATATGTGCAAATCGTAGCATGTTTTTCAGAATTTTCACGAAGGCAAAAAGAATTTGTTGCGAATTTTCTCCCCCGCCCCCTCGAAAAATGGCTGTTTCATTTTCCCCGTATCTTTCTTAAACTTTTCTACTTTCCTTAACTCTACTTCGAGCAAATCTAAGCTGCTTTTGTCATTGTTTTTGAGTGATTTTAAAACTTTCCGAGCAACTTTACAGTCCCCTCACATTCCGCGCCGGTGTTTTCCCGCATGCAATCCCTTGTCCGCAGTGTTACAGCATCGTCTACATATGGCCATCGGTTTGTAACGGAGAGGGCGCTTGACATGATAATATCTACTTACCTTGGGCAACTTTCTTCAGGATATGCTCCTTGTGCTCTTCGGCACAAGGCTGCCCTAATACGAGAAGAAGATAACAGCCCGGTGGGGCGCACGCCATGCTTAGGGCGGCAAAGGGCGGCCGGCCGGAGGGCTGCGGATGATGAACGTATCAAACACGGAGAGTGTTCTTCAGAACATAGCAAGGGTCCGCTGCCGAATGCTATAATGGGGTCTCCGTTACTGCAAGACCAGCTGCTCCGGCTCCGCAGTGACGTCGTCGCATCACGTGACTGACTGCCGCACGCAGCGGCAGCGGTGGAGGGTTGGGGCAATAAAAATGAAAGAGTAGAGAGAATTTCAGAGGTGCCACATCCCCCTTTTGGTAGACACTAAATCAATAGATGAGGCAATTTCTTCAACGGTATTGCAGTGCTAAGGACACGTGTTTTAGGGTTGAGATAGTGACATTTTTTTTAATTATTTGTTTCTGATTTACGAGAACTCTTGAAAGGGTAATGTAGCTCTTACTGCTCTTAACAATTGAATAGTTTAATTTCACCTCTTTTGTACCTTAGATTTTAAACATTTTATCTTGCGGTATAATGAAACTTTATGGTCTTGGCTTTAAGAAGATAATTCGCTCATAAAAGATGGTCTTTTATTCCTGACACAGATTTCATAACAAACTCATATTTTTTTTTTTTTTTCGAGATAATTACTTAATTTTACATGTTCAAACAAAAATGGTTATGTCTTTACAGCTGAATTTCTTCATGGAATTTAGGAAAGACAGTTTTAAATAAAAGATTATAACTTAATTTTACATGTTAAACAAAAATTATTATATATTTATAGCATAATGTTTTTCATTTAATTTAGCAAAGACAATTTTAAATTATTTTCCAAATAAATTCTGCCCATTGGCAGTAGTCTAGTATTGGTGATAGTCTATCCACAAGCAGTGAATGTTTGATGAGAAATTATGCAAAGCGTGAACTTTGATATAGATTACATAAGTTTATTGACAAAAAAAGGGCTATTAGTCTCGAAATGGCATTTTGAGTCGAATCACTGAAAGAGTTAAATCAGTTTTCAAATTGTTGCCACCGAATATTATCGCCCTGTATTATATTTAAATTATGAAGAATCTGCATGAATGTATGTATGTTTCTCACATTATGAAAAAACAAGAGTACCTAGAGCCATCAAATTTTGAATAACGCAGTCCTGCGCTAGAATATGGGCATTTGGAAGCCCGAATTAGGAATTTCGAATTTGTTTTAGTATTCATTTCATATTTTGTAAAGCTCTAACGATTTATTGATAAAAACTAAATCAAAGTGGGCAGTGGCAACACTATGCGGAATAAAACGTTTTTATCTGAGGGCGAGACTAATTCTAAAGATATGGCGTTTTTTTAACAATTTGGCCCAAAGAGACGTTAGCCCAAATGCTCTCGAAACGTGTCTGTGTGTGTGTGTAAATAGGAAAAAAATCTCTCCATTTGGGCGCAATATAAAATCTGAAAACATTCAGATTTATTTAATTTAATTTTTTTTAACAAAACAAAAATCTTTTATCAACGAAACAAAAAAGTATATTTTAGCTGGAATTTGTAACTTTATTTACTAAATATTTATCGAAAGTGTATTAATAATAACAATAATACAAAGGGAAAAGTATTCAGATTTATAATTATTTTCTGTGTGAAATTTACAGTTTGCTACCGTTTGATGGTTACACTTTGTAATTCAACTATATTGATACCTAAATATTAGATTTTAAGACTGATTTTTTCAAATAATTCTAACATGTTTAATTAATAATTAAATAACTTACTTTAGTTTAAATTAAAATAAACAAATTATGAAGCCTTTTAAGTTTTCAGAGAAAACTTTCTAAGCGCTTCAAAACTAGAATATAATATTAATTTAGTCGCTTTCTCTTATTAATTAAATTCTTCTTGGACAGGTAAACAAAAATGCGTGTGTCTGTACGTAAATAATTATAAATTTTTACATCAATGCAAAATTTATTTGCTTAATGTCCTTGTACTAGAAAAAAAAAAAAAAAAAACACTAGAAATTTTCTTCATCTCGGATTGTATACGCTCATCGGCCAATCAGGGTCCTTTCTTATTAAATTTCAAAATTTCAAGTGTGATGAAAAGCTGTTCACAAATAAATATATTCCCAAGCAAAGCGATTATTAAATTATTAAGCTATATTTAATGCATTTTTTTGGTTTAATTTTCTGTTCCTCTTTGAGCACATTTTCTACGAACATTTCGTACACATTTCTACATTCAACACATTTTCTATTGTTTAAGTATTTGAACACTTCAATTTTATTGTAGTTTTGAGTCAGACGTTCTTACAAAACTAGGCATCATAATGTATTATCACTAACTACGATCTCAAAGAAAGCAAAGAGTGAAGTAAGCATCAGTTGAAATTATAATTATTATTGATGAAATTGAATAGTTTAGGCTTGCCTTGCCTTGCCTTGTGTATAATTTTTAGGAGTCTAAACAATCCTAAACTTAATTCGTGCAAGATTTAGCTATTCAATAAATAATAATAGTAAATTCTTAAAACTTTCTCTCAGTTGACTCCAGTAAACTTTTTGTTTTGTTGTTAATAAATGAATAAATCATTTTTACTTTACCTTATATTTTCCCTTTATATTTCAACAGATCCATAAACTTATACCTGCATTTCCCCTATTATATTTAACAGATGGATAAACAGAAATTTATTGTACCAGAAATGCTTTGTTTTGTTATAGTTTAATAACAGTAAACTTTTAATAAATAGTTACTTACAGTTTAACAATGACTAAGAGTAACTAACTCCGTATATGCATCTTATAGTATATATTGAAATATTTATGCTTAGTTTTGAAAAAAAAAAGTGTTTAGTAACCTTGATGTCATATTAACAAACAGCGATCGTTTAAAAATTATATTACATGAGCTATCATCCAGAATGTCCTAGAACCTGGAATATTTTTTTAAAAATCGATTGTTTTGAAGTCTCGCTTTCTAATGATAACACCAAATATCACATTCTAATTTCTGTGAAAGGTTTATCCAGTATAATTAGAAATTTAGAAAACAATGATGAAATACTTCTAATTTTATGTTTAAATTTAAAATGGGTTACATCATAGGTAACCTTACTCAGAAGTATTTTATCTTTTATTATATGCAATAGAATTTTTTTTATTTTTCCTAAAATGAATTAAATACTCTAAAGATAGAAAACTAACGAATATATTGAACATATTTTTATCTATTATTCCTGTAGTGGTAAAAAACTATTCTGTTCTCACAATTACGTCAGTACGTGGTGTTATGAAAAAAGATGCACTTATTGAAAGTATAATTCAGTTCTTTTATTAGAATTCGAATTTGAAAACCTAATCACGCAGTTTCTAAAAATCCGTATTTTTACTATTGTTACATTAAAAATTCCAGACACAGTAGAAAATGGAAAGAGATCTATGGTGATCTAACATTTCAACCTAGGAAATTTGTTTTTCCTTCATCTTCAAGGTTGAATTTTACTTATGGCTCTATTGTACGTGGTTTATATTCTGGTTCTTCCCAACGATAAGAAGAGTTCGTCTTCACAATCGATTCTTCCTTTTTTTTTCATTGCCGAAAAATGTTCGCCCCGGGAGTAAGGAAAGACATTCATGATCTCCTATTTAGAATGGAGTTTTTCACTGTCATTTTCAAAAATACACAGCGAAATCATTCTTTTCTGACTGTTTTGCACTTTAAAAATAGCATGTGTTTGAAGTCATTTCATCTTCCATACCTTCTGGCGATTGCTGGTGATAGATTTGGTTTCTGGGGGAGATGAATGGATCTTAGTAAACATGATATCGTCTCAAAAGTCATTTTATTTGTGTAGGGTTTAACCGTTTTTTTTTCAAGTACTAATTTCTTAACAATTTAATTTTCAATTGGTGTAACCAGACAATTGAAATTATTCTTCAGAACAAACGTGTTGAAAATAGAGATGAAGTACTAACAATATTTTCCCTTTAATTACAGTATGGAATATTCTTCTTTCCTATGTTTTGCAACTGCCGTCGGGATGACGAGATATTTAGTTAACAGTAGACATTGTTTCCATAAAAGGTATTCCTGTAATCCCTGTAAAAGTTTACTGTGCACTGAATTCTGGTTTGAATCATGGTTTCAGCTTCTAGTAGCTGAATGGCTTGTTGAGTAGTTCTTGTTATTTTTTACTTCAATAAATTTAATGCCAATTGCTTTCCTTAAAAAGGTATTACTTCTAATGTAGACATACTTTCAGGGATTTGCCTTACTATGCTTTTTAATTGTTAATTCCTATACTTAAATAAATTTTTCCGCTGCCTATAACCTATTGACAAAACAGTAAATAGTCAATAGGCAGAAAGTCTGGAAAATGAATTGTACTTTCTTCGAGGACTGAAACGGCATCTTCCAGCTTTAGCTGATGTGCTGACTACAGTAAAAGCCAGTGGAAAAAACACTTTCAGTTTCTTATAATAAACCGAAAATTTTTGCTAATAGTTTTTGTATTAATAAATATTTATACAATTATTTTAGAATACCATTTTTACATTTTGTTGTACCACGATTTAGATTTACAATCAAAAATGTCTAAAGTAACAATTTCGTACTCATTGTTTAAACACGCATGTAGAAAAGCTGTTGCTGAATAGACTATGTTCAGTATTATGTACTTTTAGTTCATATTTCTGTAACGAAAAGAAAATAAACACTACTGACAGAATTTTGCAGAGGTGTATTTGTATTCTGTCGATTCTGTTTAGTATTTTAAAAATTGTATAAAATATTTTATCTCTAATGGTTGAAAGCTTTAAAGTAGATTATGCGTAATGAAATCTTAACGTTCAATGTGTTGCGAAATATCTCCTAATTTTGTTTAAAAAATATAATAGTTTTAATTTCACCTTATTAAGCGTTTTCTCATAAACACTGCTTAAACTAATTGGCTATGAATTGGTTCGTAATAGATAAGAGGTTTTTAAAACAAACGACAGACATTGTTTATAACTCCATATGTCTTTATGACTGATATCTGCGTATATGCTTTTCACACAGCATTTTGAAACGACTGTCAACTGAATTATGTATTTATGCTAAGATTTAGCAA